AAGAGAGAGAGACAGCATAAGTAGGGGAGAGGGAGAGAAAAAGGGGAGAGAGAGAATCCCAAGCAGGCTCTATGGTGCCAGTGCAGAGCCTGATGCCAGGCTTGAGCCCACAAAGCCGTGAGATCATGATCTGAGCTGAAACCAAGAGTTGGCCGCTTATCCAACCAAGCCACCCAGGGGCCCCTGAAACCAATTGTTTAATTTATTCTTTTTGTTTTAAAAGAACAGCAAATAGTTTTTTTAAGTTTATTTATTGAGAGAGAGAGAAAAAAAATCCCAAGCAGGCTCTGCACTGTCAGAGTGGAGGCTGACGCAGGGCTCAAACCCATGAACCATGAGATCATGACCTGACCTCAGATGCTCCACCAGCTGAACCACCAAGGAGCCCAGGGCCAATTGTTTCTTGATAATTTAGTCCTTGTCAATTAAGAGAGTTGATTTTAACTAGTTCTGCTACTAAATACTGTGATTTCGAGTATAAAGTTATTTTTACTATTTTCTTTGAAGGTAAAAATGGAAATCTTGATTGTGTATTCTGTTCATGTATTGACTTTTTTAAGTATGTAATCGTTTGAAAACTTAAGTGATGTACAGAAGTAGTTTTTTTGTTTTTTTAAACTTTTTAAATGTTTATTTATTTTTGAGAGAGAGAGAGAGAGAGAGAGAGACAGAGCATGAGCAGGGGAGGGGCAGAGAGAGAGGGGGACACAGAATCTGAAGCAGGCTCCAGGCTCTGAGCTATCAGCACAGAGTCTGATGCAGAGCTCGAACTCACGAGACATGAGATTGTGACCTGAGCTGAAGTCGGACGCTTAACTGACTGAGCCACCCAGGTGCCCTCAGAAGTAGTTTTTACCTAAGTATTGTTGACATGTTCTTTCAGATTAATTACACTGTGGTTTCTTTCAAAGTTGGGCTTGTGACAGTTTTGCAAGTTTACCTAAATTTAAAAATATTTAAATAAACGAGTTACATTTTATCTAAAACTGGAATTTATGTAGTGATTCTAATAAAATAGCCCTGAAATATTGAGGTAAGAAAGTGTAGGCCATGTTATAGGCTGTGGTATAAATAAACATAAATCACCTTTTTTCTCCTAACTATTCTGGCACTTAAAGTCTTTACCATAGAATTTGGGGATTGGAGTTTTGGATATTTAAGATTATATTATCTGTTTTAGATGCATTTTCACGGTAGATCATTTGTTCTTTGAAAGTAGAGATTTGTCTGAAAAAAACAATTAGTGCTGATAGGCTTAATGTGTGGCTTTATACAGTTGAATCCAGAAAATTTACCCTTGCTGTTTGAGCTTAGATCTCCTGATCAAGAATGTATTTATATTTTTATTGAATACCTAAATTTTAAAATACTCAGAGCCAGGACATGCTAGGGGCTAAATTGATAGACTTTAGAATCAGACTTGGGTTAAGAACTGCTGATTGGTAGCGGTGTCACCATAGTCCTTGGTTTCATCATCTGTGTCTTTTAGGGGTTTTGTGTGGAGTTTAAACAAGACAAAATGCACCAAAAAAATACCTTAAAGTCCCGGGCCAAGAGTAATTGCACAACAAATGATAGCTATTTACTTTGAGTTTTGCATATATTTATAAATTACCTACCTCCAGTCTTGATTATGATTCAGGGACTTTTAGGATTTGAAGTAGGAAATCTCTTTTATTAACTTTAATTTTTTTTAATAATTTTTTCAAATTTATTTATTTATTTTGAGAGACACAGAGAGAGCACAAGCCAGGGAGGGGCGGGGGGAGGGGAGGGAGGGAGAGAGAGGGACAGAGAGAGGGAGAGAATATGAAAATCCCAAGCAGGCTCTGTAAAGTCAGCGCAGAGCTCGCAGAGCTCGATGTGGGGCTTGAACTCATCAAACCATGAGATCATGACCTGAGCCAAAATCAGGAGTCAGATGCTTAACTGACTGAGCCACCCAGGCACCCCATTTATTAACTTTTTTTATTGTAATCTTTAGTGATTTCAATTGTATGTATAGATGTAATTCACAAACCATAAAATTTAGTCTTAGTGTATAATTTATGGTTTCATTGTATTCAAAAGCTATATACAACAGTAACTACCATTTAATTCCAGAACTTTTTCATCACCCCAGAAAGAAACCCTTACCCATTATCAGTCATTCCTCAATCTCCCTTTCCCCACCCCCTAGCAACCATGAATCTACCTTGCATCTCTACTGATTTGCCTATTCTGGATATTTCATATAAAAGTAATCGTACAATAAATATTCTTTTGTTCAGGCTTTCACTTAGCATGTTTTGAAGTTCATCCATGTTGTAGGATATATCACTGTTTCACTTCTTTTTATGGGTAAATAATTCTGATTTATGGATGTACTGCATTTTGTTTATCCATCATTTGATGGGCATTTGGGTTGTTTCCACTTTTTGGCTTTTAGAGATAATGCTGCTGTAAGCATTTGTGTGTAACTTTTTTGCTTAGACATATGTTTTCATTTTTCTTGGATATATACCTAGGAGTAGAATTGCTGGGTCATGTAGTTGTGGATGTTTAACTTTTGAAGAACTGCCAAACTATTTTCCCAAGAGACTATACCATTTTACATTCCCACCAACAGTATATGAGGGTTCAGATTTCTCTACATCCTGAGCAATGCTTATTACTATCTTTTGATTATTGTCATAGTCTTTTGATCATATCCATCCTAGTGGATATTAAATGTTATCTTACCATATTTCAACTTGCATTTCTCTAAAAACTGATGACTTTGAGTTTCTTATTCGTGTGTTTATTGGCCATTTATATATCATCTTGGGAGAAATGTCTTTTCAGATCCTTTGCTCCTTTTTATTTATTTTTTATTATTATTTAGCTATAAGTGTTATATATTCTTTAGTCCCCTATTAGATATATGATTTGCTATTCTGTGGATTGCCTTTCATTTTCTTAACAGTATCCTTTGAAGGACAATATTTTTTAATTTTGATGAATTCAATTTATTTTTTCTTCTGTAGCTTGTGCTTTTGGCATCATATCTAACAAATCAGTACTTAATGTGAGGTTGTGGAGATTTTTTCCCAGGTTTTCAACTAAGAGTTTTTAGTTTTAGCCCTTGCATTTAGGTCGTTCATACATTTTGAGTGAATTTTTGTATATGGTGCAAGGTAGATCCACCATCATTCATTTACATATGAATATCCAGTTGTTCCAGTACCACCAGTTCTTTTTCCATTGATTTATCTTGACAGATTTCAGTTTTAAGGAACTTAAAACCATAACTCTTTATTTGCCATGATTTAAGACAAAAGATTTATCTTCCCTTTTGAAAGCTTTGTTTTAACTATGGGGTAGAAACTGCTCTAAAATGTGACTTTGACATACTGAAGCTCTGAGTATTATTCTTACTCTGTTGTCATATTGTATCTGAGATGATAGCTAAGCTGGATATCTCACAGTAATACTTTCTTAGTGTGAAAGTATCTTCCCATTTAAAGGATTGATTTGATAGCACCTTGTTTTGAAAGCACCTTAGTCAGATTTGAGTGGTTTTATAATCCATTTAGTCTTACACTATTTTGCATGTCTTTATTTTTCTAGTGCCAACATTTAATGAAAATATTGGCACATCTTGTGGGGAGAGGCAAAAAAGTAAGTTATTAAACTAATTAGTTATGGAAGTGGTCAGACCTTAGTTTTTCTAATCAGTTTCTTAGAATACTGAGAAGGGAGCCCTCCTCCGAACAACACAAACTCAGTAATGTCCATTCACTTTTGCAGTTTGTTGCTCTTAATTTCTGTAGACTACAAATTATGGAAGTCCTTTCATGTATTTTCATTATTGTGGCTTTTAATTAGTGTTCTGATTTTCTCATAATTTCAGCCTGGAGATGTTGGACAAAGTTGAGCCCCCAACTATACCAGAAGGTTATGCTATGTCTGTGGCATTCCACTGTTTGCTAGACCTTGTACGTGGAATCACTAGTATGATTGAAGGAGAGTTAGGAGAGGTTGAAACAGAATGTCAGACTACCACTGAAGCAGCTTCTTCACCAACACAGTCATCAGAACGGCAAGAATCACAGTCAACGTCAGACCAAATGGATAAGGAAATAGGTATATGTGATGTATTTTTAGCTTTTATTTTGAAATAATTTGAAATTTACAGAAAAGTTGCACAGATACTAGAGTTCTCATATATCCTTCACCCTGATTTCCCAATTGTTAACAGTACCATATTTGTGTAATTGTATTTATATATGTCACTATACTTTTTACCTTTTTAACTATTAGAAAATAAGTTGCAGACATAATGCCCAATTTCCCCTTAATACTTCAGTGTTTTCTAAAAAATAAGGACAGTTTCCTATATAACTACAGTATAGTCCCATCATAAATTTAGCATTAGCCCAGTATTATCTAATTTGAGACCTCATTCAAATTTTGCCAGTTGCCCCAATGATGTCTTTTTTTCTATTCCTTTTCCTTTTCCTTTTCCTTTTTGTTTTTGTTTTTGTTTTCTTTTTTTTAGAGAGAGAGAGACAGACAGTGTGAGCCAGAGTGAGGCAGATAGAGGGAGAGAAAGAGATAATCCCAAGCAGGCTCTGCACTGTCAGCGTAGAGCCTCATGCGGGACTTGAACTCATGAACCATGAGATTATGACCTGAGCCAAAACCAAGAGTCGGAGGCTTAACCAGTTGAGCCCCCCAGGCGCCCCCCAATGAGGTCTTCTTATGTTCTGGGATTACCTGTTGAATTTAGTTTCATGTTGCTATACTGTCCTTTAATCTAGAACATGTCCTTAGTTTTTTCTTGTTTTATATGACCTTGACCCTTTTGAAAGGTAGCTCAGTCAGTTTGGGTTTGTCTTTTGTTTCCTCATAATTAGATTCAATTTATTCGTTTTTACCATAGAAATGTTGCTGCATTATACTTAGTGTATCAACATGTCAGGAGCATACAGTGTCAGCATGTCTCATTATTGATAATGTTACCATTTGGTTAATATGTCTGGCTGGTTTCTTCAATGTAAGAATAATTATGAACTTTTTGTGGAGAAATATTTTGAGACTAATCTAAAATATTAAAGAGAGCTTTTCCTTCTCTCCCATTTATTTTTTTTAAGATTTATTCATTTATATTATTTTTTATATATTGGACATTATTCTTTTTCTGCCACCTCCCCCCTTCCTGCTATTCTTGCCCTGATGTTTTAATGGCAAATACAGTCCTAAAATTACAGAATGTTTTTTTCACTTCAAGCCTTACTACTACTTTTACAGTGATGATGATTATCAGTTGCTTTGATTTTTTTTTCCCCCCCAGAATGGTAGAATGGAATTTTATTTTATTGAAGGGTTGCAATCTGTGATTATCATTATTTGGTTTAACACTCAGATTGTTCCTGACATTGCCAGTGGGACCCCTTTCAAACTGGTCACTATGTTCTTTTGTCATTTTCTGACCTCTACCTTACTATCTGACACAACAAAATGTTCTAAACTCATCTTTGATTTTTCTTGCCAAGCCCAGGATTCAGTTATTTATCTAAGGAGCCCTAGCTTCTTTTAGTTTAGAATAGTATTTGGAAACTAACACATGGGCACTAGTGTGCTTTTTACTACTTGAAAAAGAAATGCACGCATACACATGCACACACAAGCATACATCTCTCTACATTTTAAAAATGCCTGTCTAAAAATGTCTGTGTAAATGAGGTTTCTCCAGTTCTGGTTTAATACCACAAGGTTTATTTTCAACTTTCCATGTTTGTAATTACCTTCTCCAACAGTGAAAACTTGGTCCCAGTTTATTCAGTGGATTCGCTTTATTTACTTGATTCCCAATGTGTGTGTGTGTGTGTGTGTGTGT